ATTCAATCTCCAGCATCCCCCTACCACACACAAAGAAAGAAAGAAAGGAAAGAAAGGAAAGAAAAAAACTGAGCATGGTAATACATTCCTATAATCCCAGCTATTCAGGAAGACTGAGGCAAGAGGACTGTAAATTCAAGGCTATCATGGGCAACTTGGCAAGACCTTGTCTCAAAAATTTAAAAAATAAAATAAAACTGGGGATGTAGCTCAGTGGTATAGCATTTGCCTTGCAAGCACTGAGTTCACAATCCCCAGTACCATAATCAATCAATGGACTGTGGGTGTAGCTCAGTGATAGAACTCAATCCCCAGTACCATGAAAAAAGAAAAAAATGAAGTACTGAAATATACTATAATATGGATGAATCTTGAATACATTATGTTAAGTGGATAAACCACACAGAAAGCCACACACTTCCCAGAACAGGCAGATACGAAAAGATTAATTGTTCCCAGAGGCTGGGTGGTGGCAGCAATGATGGGGATGACTGCTAATGGGTTCAAGGTTTTTTTGGGGGGGATGATGAAAATGTTCCAGTGTTCTGAAATGAGTAGTAATCAATGGATAACTTTGCAAGGGTACTAAAAACAACTCAGGTTCACATTTCATTGTCTTTTTTTCCTTTTATATCAAGAGAAAAGGGGCTAGGGTTATGGCTCAGTGGTAAAGCGCTTGCCTAAGATGTGTGAGGCACTGGGTTCAATCCTCAGCACCGCATATAAATAAATAAAGGTCCATCAACAACTAAACATTTTAAAAAAGAGAGAAAAGATATTTCTAATGCACTAAATTAACATTTGGAGGTAAACTGGCAGCATGACTAACTTGGCCAAGCTGTCGGTCACCTTCAGACAAGTATCAAGAAACTTTAGGATAAATTTGTATTTCTTTTATGATGTTTTTGTATATTAATGAATTAAATTCAGATGTTTTAGTATCTACCTCATAGAAAGTATAATTCTCAATTTAATAGATTTTATGGAAAATTTTTAAAAATATAAAAACTACTCAGTTGTACATTTTAAAAGGTAAGCTCTATGATATGTGAGTTATATCTCAATAAAATGGTTATTTTAAAAATGGGATTTTGGGGGCTGGAGTTGTGGCTCAGTGGCAGAGTGCTTGCCTAGCATGTGTGAGACACTGGGTTCGATTCTCAGCACCACATAAAAAATAAAAATAAATAAATAAGGGTATTGTGTCCATTTACAACAATAACAATAAAAAAAAATTCTTGAGGGTGAAGATCAGTGACAGAATGCCTGGTTAACATGTTAGGCCCTGGGTTCAATCCCTAGCACACAAAAGAAAGCAGGGGGAATCAATGGCACATAACTATTCTAGTGTCTTAAATAGTTTTATAGCTAGAATTTGAAAATTATAGTCTTTCTTAAGAAGCTAGCTTAAGAATGACCGTATGGGGGCTGGGGTTGTGACTCAGTGGTAGAGAACTGGCCTAGCACACGTGAGGCACTGGGTTCAATCCTTAGCACCACATGAAAATAAAATAAAGGTATTGTATCCACCTACAACTAATAAAAAGAAAAAAAAAAAAGAATGACTATATGTTGCTAGGCAACTATATAATGGCTCGGGAAGCTGAGGCAGAGAGATTATGAGTTCAAGATCAGCCTCATCAACTTAGTAAGACCCCAAGCAACTTAGCAAGACCCTATCTCTAAATAAAATATAAAAAAGGGCTGGAGATATGACTCAGTGCTTAAGTGCCCTAGGGTCCAATGACCATATGTTAAGAAGCCTAGAAGGGCTGGGGATCTGGCTCAAGCAGTAGTGCGCTTGCCTGGCATGCGCACAGCGCTGGGTTCGATCCTCAGCACCACATACAAATAAAGATGTTGTGTCTGCCGAAAACTAAAAAAAAAAAATAAAAAAAAAAAAAAATATATATATATATATAAAAGAAGCCTAGAAATATCTGTATCTTGTAAGCACACCCCAGTACTCTGTCAAATGGGAACCGAGAAGGCACGTACCTTCAGCAGCAGGATCCAAAGGAAAGCCCTATTTCTGGATCTGGAACGTCAGGCTGAGTCAGTGTGGGTCTATTAAAGGCAGCAACTCTCCACAACGAGAATTCAGCTTCAGACATGCCAGGTCATCTGACCGTGTGGGCCCGATGTTCAGTATGGCGATTGGTAGCTTCTTCTCTCGGGCAGTGAGGATAAACCTGTAACCAGAGTACACCTGCCCAGCAGAAGACACATGTAAGAGCTCTAGATCCAAGAAAAGACAACCGAATACAGGAGCCTCCAGGACGCCCCAGCCCACCAAAGGTCAGTCACCACTCTGACCAGTCATACCTGTAAGGATGATCCCACCACCAACAGGGAGTCGGCTTCTTTCACACGCCTGTGCACAAAATTAACCTTGTCAGGGTTCACTGTGTCCCCGAAGAACACAACATCAGGTTTCAGAAGACCTCCACATCGAACACAGGAGGGGACCTGGAAGCTCTGCACCTGCTCCTCCGAGAGAAACACGTCCCCGTCGGGGGCCAGGCCCTGGGCCTCGGCGTTCCAAGTGGGGTTCAGGAGTTTGATGCGCTCTTGCAGCACCCCTCGGGGAGTCTTCTCACCACAGTTCAAGCAGAGGACCCTGAAACCAAAGATGAGGCCACTGAATGCTCTCTCCTTGAAGGCACAAATCTGCTATAGGTGCTCCCTCCTGAGGCAGTGACGGTCTCCCCCACTTTCTTTTCCTAACACCCTAATTTTCCCCATCTTAGGCCTCCATTTTCTTGATCTCCTGTGGATTTGTGGTCTTTCCTCCTATTCTACCACTAGTTTTCTAGAGCAAGTAATGTACATCTGTTTCCTTACTATACACTCCCTGCTTAGGCTTCCACTAGCTCGCTTTTATCTTCTAGGGATTGGACCCACGGGTGCTTAACCACTGAACCACATCCCCAGCCCTTTTTATTTTTTATTTAGAGACAGGTTCTCCCTGTTAAGGTCTTGTTCAGTTGCTGAGGCTGATCTCAAACTTGCAATCCTACAGCCTCAGCCTCCCAAGCCACTGAGATTACAGGTGTGCAACACCATGTCCGGCTCACTTCTATCCTTATAACAGCAAATGCTGTACCTTATGATTTCCTGAGTGCCTGAACAAGTGCTTTTCCCCTTCATTCTGCACTGTCTTCACCTACTTTATTTGTCATTATCACCCTCTTCTCTTTAAGACACTTTTCTTGGCTGGGGGCATAGCTCGGTGGCAGGCAATGTGCTTAGCATGTGCAAGGACCTGGGTTCCATCCTTAATACTGCTAAAAAAACAAAAATCGACCAAACCTAAAACAGCCCCTTCTGGTTATCTTCTCACTTCTCATCACCTGGACATGAACTCTGTGAGAGCAAGCATGTTAAGTCCTTTGGCCACTGCCCTAATGCCCACCTCCTACAATAGTGCCTGCATCCAATGTAGTGATTGGGAGCTCACTAAATAGCTGTTGAAGGAAACAAAAACGTGCAGTTTTAGCTACTTGGAGGTGAAGACAGGAGAATGGCTTGAGCCCAGGAGTTTGAGGTCAGCCTGGGCAATGAGATCCTGCCTCTAAAAACATAAAAAGAAAATAAAGAATGAAAGGGGGTATAGTTGGTTCCTCCTCTAGATACTCCTCAGTCCTTCACCCTGTTTTCTATGTTCTCCTTGTTGGTTGAAGCTCTCTCCTGTTTCAGTGTCTCTGTATAATGGCTGCCTCCTCTGTGACTCTACTCCTACCTTCTCCAAACCCTAGTTCCATCTCCACATCTCCTTGACTATCCTATTAAGATCAATCCCAGGGCTGGGGTTGTAGCTCAGTGGTAGAGTGCTTGCCTAGCATGTGTGAGGCACTGGGTTAGATTCTCAGCAGCACATATAAATAAAGGTCCATTGACAACTAAAAAAATATTAAAAAAAAAAAAAAGATCAATCCTAGCAGAGCAAGATGGTGCATGCCTATAATCCCAGCAGCCAGGAAGGCGGAAGCAGGAAGATCATGAGTTCAAAGTCAGCCTCAGCAAAAGTGAGGCCCTAAGCAACTCAGTGAGACCCTATCTCTAAATAAAATACAAAATAGGGCTGGGGATGTGGCTCAGTGGCAGAGTACTTGTCTATCATGTGTGACGAACTGGGTTTGATCCTCAGCACCACATAAAAATAAACAAACAAAAATAAAGCCATGCTGTCCACTTACAACTGCAAAAACAAATTAAAATAAATAAAATACAAAATAGGGCTGGGGGTGTGGCTTAGTGGTTGAGTGCCCCTGAATTCAATCACAGGTATCAAAGGAGAAAAAGAAAAATCTTTGAAGGCTAACCTTAGCAACTTAGTGAGGTCCTAAGCAACTTAGTGAGACCCTGCCTCAAAATAAAAAATAAAAAAGGTTTGGGAATGTGGCTCAGTGGTAAAGCACCCCTGGGTTAAATCCCCAGTACCAAAAGAAAAACAAAATTTTTGAATCTGGGGGATGGTTTATGGGTACTTAGTCTCCACTTTTGTGAATTTTGAAATTTTGATCATGAGATAAAGGTTTTTATGAATTTTTAACATGAACATATAGGTATCATTAATTCTCTAATTCCCCCAATAACCCCATAATCTGGGTCCTTCAGGCTGACCTCCCTTAACCCACTCTTTCTAGTCCTGTCTAGCCTTTCTCCAGTGCTATTTTTATCATGTTGTTGCTTTCTTGCTCAGAAACCCTTTATGTCACAACAGACCCAAACTACGCTATCTGATTTTCAATTGCAACCAATTTGGGTCTAGCCCCTCTCAAAATCTGATTTCACACTAGTCACCATTCCCAAACCCTCCATAGAGGTCAGGCCTGACTCCCCTGGGCTCTATGAACTCCCTTCATTTAGAAAGCCCTTTTTTCCCAGAATCCTTTGCCTAAGTCAAACTTGAATCAGTCTCAAGCCCCCACTTTACCCATACAAGCTTTCTCAAGTATGCCAATCTTCACTACATCTGTTTCTTTGAACATGCACATCATATATACCAAGGACCACATAATTTAACAAACACATGTTGAGTTGTTTGTTGCTAAACATGCTATTTTTGTGTCTCCCCCACCAAACAGAATTCCTGCATATAAAGTAGACCACCTCTTATTCACACTACCAGATGGCATGCCAATACGCATAACACAGGCACCCAGGAAATAATTCACAATTGGCAGGCTGATTTTAGTTCTCAGAGGAGGCTCTCAGGGACATAAAGATAAAGAAATAGTCTCCAATTAGCTACAAGTCATTGCCAAGGCTGTCGGTACAATCCCCTGCCCGTGTATTCATTCCACCTATAATTATTTAGAGTTCTGACTGTAGTCAGAACTATCCTGTGTTTTGTGTGTCTATGTGCTGGAGACCCAGCAGTTTGTAGCATAAACTTTTGGTTCTGCTCATGTACATCCCAGAACACCCTGGAAGCCACAGGGACACAATATTCTTATAAGCAGCTTCCTGTGTCTCTTTTGCATAGAATGTTCCATGACCATGGTAGCCTTCTTGAGAGAAAGCAGAGTAAAGCGATAGGGAAATAATTCCCCAAGAGCAACTTGGACTAGGGAGGCATGAGAAATGGTGGATAAATACCCCAGCTTCCTTCACTTTCAAAGAGATAATTCTGAAGCATGTTCTAGACACGGAGTCCTGGCAGGACTGAGCTCATCTGTTCAAAGTAGTAACCCATACGTATTTCCCCCACTAGTGCTGGGGAATCAAACCCTGGGCCTCGTGATGCTGGGCAAGTGCTCTAGCACTGGGCCACATCCCCAGCCCTGAACACACGCTTCCTTGTCCCCACTTTTTTGTGTCCCTACTCCCCGACTGAGTTTACCAGGATCAACTCTAAACTCAACTCTAAACAATTTGCTTCCAAATCTTTTTCTCAGGATCTAATACAACCTTAACTAAGATAACAAAGGTTCTGGCTCTCACAGAACACACAATGCCATGTTCAAACTAGACTTCCTGCACCTGTGCATGGATCCATGGAGCTCTGTCAGGCGCTGACTCCCAGCCTTGGTGTGCAAGGCATCCACATTTTGTGTCACTAGCCAATGCAGTTTTCCGAGTTTCTCCCAGTTGCTCAGAGCCCAGTGTGCAGGGTTCGGCTGGTGGGATGAGAACTGAGGCCAGCCCACAAAGTTTCTTGCCCAGTACCGCTGGCGGATTGGAGCACTCCGTACAAAATCTCCATGCTGGATGGGCTTCCGGTCAGTGCGGGCATAAAGTCCCACCTTTTCTGACCTGTAGTCTGGGATCCCTGACTCAGTTGAGATCCCTGCCCCCGTCATCACGAGGAGTTTCTTGGAAAGAGTGATGAAGCGCTGTAATTCTTTGACCTTCTCAGGGTCCAAAGGAGGACTTGATGGCACAAAGAACTCAACAGATCTGCATGAGCACTGCCGCCTGAGGTTTCTGATCCAACTGCCTTTTGTTGACTTGAACGTCAACCCACTGCTCATCCTCATTCTAGAGAAAAAGAAACCTCATGTGAGAAGATGAGTTTTGCAAACAAAGGTAACCACTAGCGGATGAAAGAAAAAACAAGATGTGATCTATCTGTTCAGTGGAGTGTCATTCTGCAGTAAAAAATGAACGAAGCTAGAATCCAGCTACTGAAGAAGCTGAGGCAGGAGAATCACAAATTCAAGGTCAGCATGGGAAACTTATCCTGTTTCAAAATAAAAAATAGGACTGGGAATGTAGCTCAGTGATATAGCACCCAGGACTCAATCTCCATCACTGGGGAAAAAAAAAAGTTCTCATACATACTATCACATGGATGGACATTGAAAACATTAGGCTAAGTGTAAGAAATCATCTACAAAAAGACAAATATCATATGATTCTACTTATATGAAATGTCCAGAATAGGCAGAGCTATAGACATAGAAAGTAGATTTATAGTTAGCAGTGGCAGGAGAAAGGGAGAATGTTAAAGCATGTGCAAAAAATTCATCATTCATTTTTTTTTTCTGGTACTAGGGATTGAACCCCAAAGCATTTTACCACTGAGCTACATTCCCAGCACTTATTTTTTTTACTTTGAGACAAGGTCTCGCTAAGTTGTTGGAGTACCTCACTAAGTGGCTGAGGCTGGCCTCAAACTTGTGATCCTCCTACCTCAGCCTCCTGAGTCACCCAGCTAATTCATTCATTTTCATAGCTGAAAAATAAGAGGTAAAAAATAGACATTGAGCATCAAAAGCTGCTAAGATTTCAAAAAGATGGGCTGGGGGTGTAGTTCAGTGGTAGAGCATTTGCCTAACATGTGTTTAATATTTAATTAAATAGATTTAATCCTCAGCACTGCAAAATAAATAATTAATTTTTTTAAATTACAGAGAAACATTGAGAACTATGAGACTTTTGATGGAAGACTGCCTAAGATGTGGTCTTGGCAAAAAAAAAAAAATCAAACTTGATTCTGATCAAATCTCTAATTAATAATTTATAGGAAATACAGAAAATAGAACATTGTGTAAAATGATAGCATTTGTCACCTGGCAAAGTCCAGGACATTGGAAACTGAAACTCTACAGGACAAACAAATCAGTTTCTTCTACAAATAAATTACATAAGATAGATGTGAAGAAGAATTAAGGGGCTGGGGCTGTAGCTCAATGGTAGAGAGCCAGCCTCACATGTGTGAGGCACTGGGTTCGATCCTCAGCAACCACATAAAAATAAATAAAGAGTTAAAAAAAAAAAAAGAAGAATTAAAATTAAAAGAGATTTAAAAACACACCAACTATAGATATATATATATATATATATTAGTTCTATATATCTATATATCAGATAAGTTATATATATATAACTTATCTGGATGCTGATTCAAACCAACTTTAAAAATATAACATTCGGGGCTGGGGTTGTGGTTCAGTGGTAGAGTGTTTGCCTAGCATGAGGCCCTGGGTTCGATCCTCAGCACTACATATAAATAAATAAAATAACTAAAAAAAAAATTTTAAAAATATATGACATTCTAAGCAGGTGTGTAATGCACACCTATAATTCTTGCAGCTTGGGAGGCTGGGGAAGAGAATGGCAGGTTTGAAGCCAGCCTCGGCAACTCTGTGAGGCTATAAGCAACCTAGTGAGACCCTGTCTCAAAAGGAAAAATAAAAAGGGTTCGGGATATGGCTCAATGGTTAAGCACCATTGGATTTATCCCTTGTACCAAAAAAAAAAAAGACATTCTATGACATTTTTTCAATATGACAATTGAAAAAACTGAACATCAACAGGATATTGAGTCAGGCACAATGGCACACAACTTTAATCCCAGTGATTCAGGAGGCTGAGGCAGGAAGATTTCAAGTTCAAAACCAGCCTCAGCAAAATCAAGATGCTAAGCAACTCAGTGAGACCCTGTCTCTAAATAAAATACAAAATAGGGCTGGGGATGTAGCTCAGTGGTCGAGTGCCCCTGGGTTCAATCCCTGATACCAAAACAAAACAAACAGAATATTCATGATAGTAATAAATTATTATTTATTTGTTTTTTTGGATGTGGAGCTTGAACCCAGGGTCTTGTGCATGCTAAACATTCACTCTACCACTGAATAACAGCCCCACAAGTTAATTTTTTAATGCATATGACAGACGGTATTTGTGATTCTTTAAAAGTGTGTGTGTGTATGTGTGTGTGCGTGTGTGTGTGTGTATTTTTAAAGAGATGGGGTCTTGCTACATTGCCGAGGCTGGCCTCAAACTCCTGGGCTCAAGCGATCCTTTGGCCTCATTCTCCCAAGTACCTGGGATTACAGGTACATACCACCATACCTGGCTTAAAAAAGTTTTCATCTCATATAGTTTTATATTAAAATTTTGGATGAAATGATACATCTGAAAGAATTTGTTTAAAAATAATAAGGAGAAGGATGAAGAGGATAGGAGTATATAAATGAAACAATTAGCAAAAAATGTCTTTCTTTTGTGCTGTGGATTGGACATAGGGTTTCACACACACTAAGCACGCTCTCTGCCACTGAGCTCTACCACCGAACTACACCCTCGGCCCAAGAACTGCTAATGGTTGAAATTCAATGATGGCTAATTCTTTAGAGGAATGTATGGATTGAAGATACCCTGATGTAGCCAGGACAACAGGAGTACAAAGGTGCCAAAAGCCATGAAATGAAGGCTGTATCCCTAAATCCTGTGAATTTTAACAGCTTAGAATGGAAGTGTGAAGAGAAGCTAAAACATGGAAAGTTTTCTTATAAAGGTAGACAAAAATCCCAATATCTGAACCATTTCAGCAATTATATAGTATTTGGAGAAAAATATATTTCAAATTAAATGTGCCAAGTGAATTAGGCCAAAAAACTTAGTAATCCAGTGCCCTCATGTTGCCCTAGATCTAGACAAAACTGAACCCAAGGGCTCATGATTAACAACAGAATAGAGATAAATAAGGGCTAAGTCCTGAAAAAACAAACAAACAAAAAACAGACAAAACCAAACTATAGGCTGGAGATAACCAAGGCAAAGAAAGAAGAAAAAATATGTACCCAAGTGAGAGAGAACCAGGGTCTCTGTCAAGAACCCACAAATGAGCAGGGGTGAACTTACTGGAAGAACCCTTGCCTAACATGGTTGCAGCCCTGGGTTCCATTCCCAGCACTGAAAAATTAATAATAACAAGAATAAATAATAATAATAATCCATAGATAGCCAATGCAGTGGTGTGTTTGTAATCTCAGAATTTGGGAGGCTGAGACAAAAGAATCACAAGTTTGAGGCCACTCTGGACAATTTAGCACCCTGGCTCAAAATAAAATTTTTAAACAGTGCTGGAGATGACAGGCACAGTGGCGCATGCCTATAATCCCAGCAACTCAGAGCAGAAGGATTGCAAGTTAAAAGCCAGCCTAGACACTTTAGTTAGACTCTGTTTAGTTAGTTAGTTAGTTAGACTCTGTTTCAAAATAAAAAATGGTTGGGTCAGAGGTCAATGATAAGAGCACTCCTGGGTTCAATCATCAGTACGGGAATTAGAAGGGTGGCTGAGGGGAGGGAATGGGGCTGGGGATGTAGCTCAGGGGTATGGCATTTGCATAAAACGCATAAGGCCTAGGTCCAATACACAGTACGTCACACAAAAAAGATAAACCCACAAATAAAGATAAGATTGGCTGGTATCTTTATTTCCCCCCAAAATGTCCACCCTAAATTATATTCAGTAGCAGATTACTGATGAAATTCTAACTCAGGGTCTTGCACGTACTAGGTAAGTGCATCCCCAGCTCCTACTGATGAGATATCAAGCCCTTTTGGGAAGCTGCCAACCCAAAGTATCTACTAATCAGCTAATCTGCACATTGAAGTATTATGCAGAGATTAATGAGAGCCAATGAGAGCTTGATATTGAGAAAGAGCTAAGGAGTAAGAATTTATCAGAAATGCATACAATACTGTTTTATGGAAAATAAGGATATTTAAGTATTAGAGAAATGTGCTTGAAAGAAGCATAGGTTTTTCTGTAACCTAAGAAAGACATCTATCCAGACCTTACTTATCCATGCTTAACAACTCATAATCAATCAACTCAAAATGAATCAATGACTTCAAGGGACTCAAAATGAATCAATGTATCTATCATAACAGAAAAGATACAGCCTCTTCTCCTCCTCCCCTTCTCCCATCCTACAGTGGTTTTGTTTTTGTTCTTTTGGTGCTGAAGATTGAACCCAGGGTCTCAATTGCACTAGACCATTTAGCTACCCCCCAGACCCCGTATTACAAAGTGTGGGTTTTTTTGTTTGTTTGTTTGTTTGTTTTTGGTACCAGGGATTTAACCCAGGGGCATTACC